CAAATAAATTAAGGAAATTTTGTGAATGATTAAATTAGATTGAGACATTAACTAATGTTATAATTTAATTAATAAAAAAATTCATCTCACTCTTCTTTTTGTTCCCTCAAGCCATACATGTTCCAAGAGTTTGTGTATTAAAAGCTTTTGATGGTATACTCTAAAGTAATAAAATTTTGAGCTTTATATATAATATAGGATATGATAATGATTCAAGTATGATAATTAATGTACAAAGTGACGAGAAATCTCCAAATGACTTCCATGTCATTAGATTTTTTTTTTTTAAACTAGTGCCACAAATAGGAAAAATATTATGCTAGAGTTTCGAAATAGGAAATGATTAGTTTGAATCTTTAATTAATTTGGCAAATCACAATAAAAATAAAAGGGAAAAAGATTGGTGCCACAGGCTTAAGCAGAGTTTGACTGAACGACAAAAATTCTATTTGGGCCTAAGAAATTAGAATATGGGTTCAGTGGGTCCGTCAATCAAAAGTCTTTCCTTCTTCTGAGCCGCCTTATATTACCTATCCGATCTCGTCGGCTGGCGGCGAGAAAAGGAAGGAAAATGTGCACCAGATAGCCCTGTCAGGGTGATTGCAGGTAAACAAACACACTCTTTTTTTTTTTTCTGAAAAACCAAATAATACTTTTAATCAGAAACTGAGTACAAGGGTACTCAAACCCATTTACAAACACGCAAAAATACCAACAAAAAACCAGCTAATTCAAGTTACCCCCATCTTTCAAACCTATCCTTCTCCAATTTACTCAATTCCCCCCACTGGTAAACAAACACACCCTATAAAATGTAACAAGGCATGTTGCAGTAGTGAGAGGCTCGTTGGTATTCATTAGTCTGTAGAAGAATGTTATCAAACGATGTCAGTTGGGTTTGCTGAGTATCTGACAATTGAGGAAAGATCATAAAGAAGCTGGAACAAAATCATTTTTTTCGTTTGTGAATTATGAGATTTTGTATAGGTGATGTGATTTGATGATAGCATCATTGAGGCTTTTTTAAACTCAATAAACCATCCATTGCATGTTTTATATTTGAAATGTATGATGTAATTTATTAAAAAATAATGCATACTAGTTCTAATTTTCACAAAAAAAAAGGGACTTAATTTCAATAAGATTAATGAATATGTTTAAAAATTAACGGTTAGATTTAATGTTTTATTTGTATAGATCTTATATATCAATATGTTAGTTAATTTAATATTTATAATAATTTAATTAAGATATTTGTATTTTTAAATATATATTTAACAATAATGATGGTAAATTTTTTATAATCAACTAACTAATTATATATATTTATTTTTTTTAAAAAAATAACATACATGATATATATAAATAGAAAAAAAATTAAATTTATCTATTGTTTTTTGAATATTCATTATAAAATATTACTTTTGAAATTAAAACTCTACGGTTTTTTAATAGTTGGGATCCAAACACACTTTTTGTTTAGTATTTAAATTCAAAATTTGTTTTTTAAATGATTCTGTCTCCATCGCAAGGGAATCATATGAATTTTCTTTTGTTGGGGACTTTAGTAATACAGGAAAAGAGAAGATTGTGATGGTATTTTCTTTTAAAATAAATCAGATATCTTAAATGGTCAGTCTTTCTTTTTTCTTATATTTGCTTCCACAATGTAAAATAATTTTTTTTTTTATTTCTTAACTTATTTTATGTGTATATCATGTGATTCAAATTTAAATTCAAAATCTTTTATTTTTATTGGAAGAAAATTATTATTACATTATTTTGTTCATTGAAAAATAGTCACTCTTTAATATTTATAAATATTAAGAATTTATTTTATTTTATTATAACATTCTCATGCAAAGCATGAGCTTTACATAGGAATCTTAGGAATTAGATTTATTGATAAATAAATATTATTTTATAAATCAAATTTAAGGTTTAAGTTTTCGATCCAACAATCAATGAAATTAATTTTCTAACCCTCACCATATCTTATTGGAAACTTTCAAGTGTGTGAGCCATCCTTGCAAAATTCATGTTCATGTCTTTGATCTGAGTGTGACCTGGGCCAAATTCATTTCAAATAAGATAGCAATGCATGAAACATTCCCAAACTGATAGAACTTGCTCTACCCAGTACTAACTGTTAGATATTTTTAAGTCAACTTTTGCAAGCATAGAGTGGTTTCCAGAAAGTACCTAAGTAATCTTATATCAACCTGATATATTTTAAGGCATGGGAAGGAGAAAGGTGGAAATGGGGTATAGAGTGGAGGAGAGAGAGGATGGGACGCAAGAAAGATG